CTCTTCTTCTTCTTCCGCCGCCTCGTCATCCCCCACCTGGCATGCCTCCCCTTCTTCATCGACCTAGTCATCAGCACATTCATGGTCAGATCAGCCATCACAAAGGCCCCGTTGGCAGGTATATCCAGAGGGTCGGATCGATTGCTACAGATGCCTCTTCGGAGGAGACCTTCCCCGTCTTCGCCGCCGCCTCGTCGAAGACAACGGCCTCATCTGTCCTGGAACAGCATGAACAAAACACACCCCTTGAAGGGGTTTAGAGATCTGCTCCGACGACATGCTCGCAACCGTACAGAGCGACATCGCCGTTCTCGATATACACTGCGCGTTTGTGAATGGCGATCCAGTGGCCTGAGAGCGTCAAGCCTGCCTTACAATTCTACAAGTGTAGTCTACACTCGAGTGCTAAACGATTCTAACTTTCTGAGCACGAGGCATCTGCACCTGTTGCCGTCTCGCCGGTCACACCCCCTCTACATGCCCGTGTGCGGACGCCCTCCAGAGCCATTTTGCACAACAGGCTCGCCCTCAGACTGTCCCCCCGGCCTCGACCTCCAGCACAGCAGCCACCTAGCCACGATGTCTCATTCCCCTGATCCCCCCACAGTAGCAGGCATTCCCGCCCGCGAGTCCACCTTCTCGCCACTTACTACTCTCTCGGAGGACTCGGACTCGACTTCCTTGTCAGGCGACCCTAGTGTTGCTGACCCACCTCCCACGCCTTCGCCTAGCGTCTCTCATGACCCCTCTCCTCCTCCTCGTCCTCCTACTAGGCGTGCCCTTCGCATGGCCCGCTGCAGTGCCTCCCTTATTGCAAGAGAGGATATCATCGACTTCCTGGACCTTGAGTGTGTTAAGGTCCGCCAGGAACGTCTCCGCCTTAAAGAGCACACCCTCGCCGCGATCTCCCAGCGCTTACACAATCCCGATCGCACTTTACCGATTATTCCTGTGCGCCTCGGGACCTCTACTAGAGTCTATCGCGCATTATGGGACTCTGGCTCTACTGGCGACTTCATCCATCCTCACGTAGTCAAGGAGGCATCCCTCTACACATCTTCCTACTCCTCCAYTGTCACTGTCACCCTTGGCGACAACCAGGCCAAATCCTTCGTCAATTCTGTGGTGTCTGATCTTCCATTTTCCTTTCCCTTGCGGATGCCCCGTAGCCTTCGCAAGGCCCCCCGGTTCCATGACCAGTGGACTTTCGACGTCATGGAAACCATGTATGACATTATTTTCGGCACTGCCTACTTACATCAATTTGCTCATTCTGGCCCCGATTGGGTCCACAACGACCTCGTCCTCTACACCAAGGACGATCAGGAGTATCGTATTCCGTTGTTGGGCAAATCGGACCCTACATCTCCTCCCCCTGTTAATGTCACCATTCTGACACCTACTAACTTTAACCACATTCTTCGCCAGCCGGATGCCGAACTTTACATTGTCGACATCACGGACCTTCTTACCTGCAACTCCATGCATCAGGACGTTGAGTTGGTCGAACTCGAGCCACTTGATTCGTCGACTCCTTCCATTTCCACGTGCTCATCGCACTTTGTCGCGTCCTTTGACAGGGAGACGCCATCCGCACCTATCCCTATGCCGACTCCTTCCACTCCTGCTTCAGACGCTGCTGCTGCTAAGGAGTTTGATGACCTCCTAGCGACCTTGCAACCCAAGCGTCGCTACTCTCCTTCGCGAGTATCGCGATGTCTTTCCTTCATCTGTCTCCTATAGTAGCATTACTCCTATGCGTGACATCGAGCACCGCATCCAGCTCGAACCGAACTACCGTGTCCAGCATCGAGCCCCATACCGCATCTCGGTCCCTGAAGCCCGGGAACTTAAACGCCAGATCGACGAGCTGCTTCGTCAGGGCTTCATTAAACCGAGCACGTCACCGTGGAGCGCACAAGTCCTCTTCGATCGAAAGAAGGACGGCGCCCTCCGCCTCTGTCTCGATTACTGCGGCCTCAACCAGTATACGGTCAGAAACAGTTATCCCATGCCCCGCGCATATGACCTGTTCGACCGCCTTGCTGGCCACCATTTTTTTACGAAGATTGATCTTCGCAGCGGATACCACCAGATTCGCGTGGCCAAGGAGGACCAGCACAAGACCGCGTTTCGCTCTCGATTTGGACACTACGAGTTCACTGTCATGCCTTTCGGCCTCCGTAACGGTCCTGCCACCTTCCAGATGGCTATGAACACGATGTTCCAGGACCTTCTCGAGGACTTTGTTCTAGTCTACAGTGATGACATCCTGATCTACAGCCGTACCTTAGAGGAGCATATGACCCACCTCCGCACTGTACGATTACGCGACCACGGATTCTATGCGAAGCTCTCCAAATGCGCCTTCGCTCAATCCAAGGTCGTCTTTCTAGGACATCAGGTCTCCGAGCATGGACTCCACATGGACGACTCGAAGATCCAGGCTATCGTCGATTGGCCTACACCTACTTCTCTTCCTGCGCTACGTAGTTTCCTGGGGTTGACCAACTACTACGGTCATTTACGGTCATTTTCTTAAAACCTACGCGCAGTACTCTTCACAACTGACTCCTCTGACCCACGGACGTCTACCCTTCCATTGGACCCCGGCTCATGAGGATGCCTTTCGCTCTCTGAAGCGACTTGTCACGCCAGCCCCTGTCCTACACCTACCCGACTACTCCCGCCCATTCATCGTCACCACCGACGCGTCCGACTTTGCCAAAGGAGCTGTACTCTCCCAGATTTACCCAACCCCTTCCACTTCTCCACAGCCCCACAGAGTCTCGTCTCCCTCACATTCCTCGCTTTCCCCCCCCACCCCCAGTGACTGCGGCTCGACTTGCACCTATCGAGCCCACCCTCTCAGGGTCTCCACCTCCCTGCACCCCTGACGTCGCTGATGACGGCACAGTCGAGTCTCGCGATGGAGAGTGCCCGGTTCTTGTCTATCTCGACAGCTACTTCCTGCTGAGCGTAACTACACTGCTGACGAGCGTGAGGTCCTCGCGCTGGTTTACGCTGTTAAGAAGTGGCGTCATCACTTACACGGTCATACATTCACCGTCCTGACGGACAACTCTGTCCTCGCCGCTTTCCAGACGAAGCCGAAGCTTACCCCTCGCCAGGCTCGTTAGTGGCGTGATCTCGCAGAGTTCGACTTTACCATCAAGAAGATTGCTGGGGAAAGCAATCGCGTAGCTGATGCCTTATCTCGCCGCCCCAATCTTCAGTGCGATGATCGGCAGCTCTCTGCCATTTCATTCCCCGTCATCCACCCCACTTTCCTAGATGAGTATCGGTCGGCATACCCCCAGTGCTCCGAGTTTCAGTCCATCTACGCTGACTTACAGGCCGGCAAGACTGTCCCTAACTTCCAGCTCGACCCCTCTGGACTCCTATATTGGCTTGAGCGCCAAGGTAACCGTACTCCCCGCTTATGTGTCCCATCTGTCGGCCAGCTTCATGTTCGAGCTGTCGCTGAGTGTCACGATCAGCGTGTTGCCGGTCATCTCGGATTCCTTAAGACCCTTGACCGACTCTACCGCCATTACTACTGGGAGCACCGCCGTCCTTTCACGACAGAGTACGTTCGCACCTGCAGGACCTGCCAGGAGGCCAGCATTCCCAACCACCCTCCCTACGGCCTTCTTGAGCCCTTACCCATTCCTACTCAGCGATGGACCTCCATCTCTATAGACTTCATAGGCCCACTTCGTCCCCCTACCCCACGAGGTTACTATGCCATCTTTGTTGTTATCTGCCGGTTGACTAAGCATGCTCACTTCCTCCCCTGCAAGTATGCTAGTTCAGCCAAAGACATCGCCACTCTGTACTTTAACCGTATTGCCATTCATCATGGTCTCCCCACTAGCATTGTCTCTGATCGCGATCCCCGCTTCACTTCTCATTTCTGGCGTGGACTCCATGAGACTTATGGATCCGAGCTTCGCCTTTCCTCCTCCTACCACCCCCAGTCAGATGGACAGACTGAGGTCATTAACAAAACTCTTGGAACTATCTTTAAGAAGTTTGTTGAGAATGACTCTGATTGGGATTTTCATCTTGCTCGTGCAGAGATCGCTTATAACCACGCTATTTCTCCCGCCACCGGCATGTCCCCCTACTACTTTGACCTGGGATATCACCCCCGTGTCCCATCTGATCTCCTCCGTCCATCTCAAATTCACCCTGACACCAAATGCCCAGCTGTCGATGAGTGGGTAAAGGAGATGGATGCGCTCCTTAGCATGGCTCGAGAGAGCATTGCTCACTCGCAGATTCGCATGGCGACCCGCGCCAWCCGCTCACGCATTGACCATCCCTTCAAAGTTGGCGATGAGGTCCTTGTCGACGCACGTCACTTCCAACCCGAAGCCGACACGCTTCGGAAATTCAGACGTCGATATATCGGACCATGCACCATTCTTGCACCCGCCGGACCCAATCATGACTCTCCAGTGAGCTTCAAATTGAAGCTCCCCGATTCCATGTATCGCGCTAACCTACATGATGTGTTTCATGTATCCCTTTTGCGCCCTTTCAGACGGTCTCCTCCTGAGTTTCACGGTCGACCTTACCCTCGCCCTTCTCCCATCATCATTGAAGGTCACGAGGAGTTTGTCGTCTCTGATATTGCGTCTCGGCGTATGACAGATGGTGACCCTCCCCGCCTCGAGTATCATGTTCGATGGAAGGGTTACCTCGACGAGGAGTCTACGTGGGAGCCTCTTGAGCACTTGAAGCATGCTATGACTTTTGTGCGTGCTTATGATCGTGCTCATCCTTTCCCTTCATCATCATCCCCTCCTACCTCTCGTCCTTCTACTGATCCATCTACTTCAGCGACCACTAACATCCCCCCCCCCTCATCGATGGGTCCTCCTGCTCCACTGGTACCTGCCCCAGACCCTCCTCCCCCTGTGGATGTGGTTCCGCCTGTCGTCGCAGTTGACTCCTCTCGCCCTCAGCGTAACCATTGACTTCCTTCTCGATATCGTGACTGATCTTACGCTCTCTACGCCGTCTATCTTTTACCACTCTTGGACACTTATGCAGCAGCTCCTGGTTTCGGCTTCTACATTCGACTTCTACATTCGACTTTTCGATCTCAGTGCTCCTACTCAGTACCAGCGTACATGTCACATGATTCCGGACTTCTACTTGGTTGTCTGCATTACTCCTACTTCATCCTGGCTACTTCGACTCGACTTCAATCAGGAGACTCACCAGTTGGACTACTTCACTCTTTCGGCTACGAAGTTCTCATCATCTCCATGTATCCTTACCCCCCCAGTCGCATGATGAGCCCTATTTCCCCTGTTTATGTGGGTGTGTCCGCTTGCCGCCCTTCTGCCTTACCTTATGCTGCGCGCCCTCCTTTGGAGTGTACGTTTTCTTTGCTCGCGGCTCTTGGGCCACATGTCTATGCCGACATAGCCCTCTCTCCTTCCAGGCTCACCTTATGCGTGCTCCCTTGTGTAAGGGTCCTTCCGCTTTCAGCTGGCGGTGTCCGTTTGATGGTTTCCATCGAGCCCGGTGTCGTGCTGTTGCTCCGTTTCTGAGCCTGATGTCCCCTACCTGGTTGTGTGGGTGCCCCCTTGGAGTTTACTCTAAGAGCTGTACCTACCGCCTTCCCACCTATTCCTACCTTTGCCATGCGACTGAGTTCCTTCCTCTTCTGTTCAGGCATTGTGCATTGTGTAGAGGGCACGTGAGATTGTGCCACATTCTTTTCGACGTAGGACATTAGCTTAGCTATTCTTTGGCCTTTAGGTCCAGGGCGGCAGGTTCATTCATCTAGTGGTTCGTTCTTTCATGGAGCCGGACTAGACCTTCACTCAGCTGCTACCTCTTGTGTGTGTCCATTTCCTCCCTCTCACTCTCTCTCTCACCATCTCCGCACGTGCCCTTGGCACGTGCGTCAAAGAAGGGCCATTTTCTCTCACAAACCGGCCTCTCGAAAAATCCTGACAGCCCTCGAATATTTTCGAGATTCGAGAGTGGTGTGGCGAGGCCCTCTGCGTCTCCAATCCACTTGGATGGACCGACTTATTTGTCCATTCGTTTTCGTTGAACAGGCGATCATTGCGGCATTGCCAGATGACAGAGAAAATAATGGCACGAAGAACCTGAGCCACATACCCCCAGCCTGACTGTTTGTTGCAATTCTCTGGGATGCCCCCTAATAACGTCCATTCTTTGTTCCACAGAAAGGCCGGCCCTGAGATGCGATTCCAGTGGGCAATGAACCATTCCCAAAATTTTCCGGAGGCAGGATAGTCCCACCACAAATGAACAGTAGTTTCGAGTTACATCTGCTGCATTTGAGATCCACTAGTACACCTTTTTGTGCTTGCCAAACTGCTGACGGAGTAGCCACCATAGAGACCAACCAGAGTATGGACGCTTGTCTTTGGACCTCGCCGCACCACTATCGAAAATGCAATTTTCGACAGTTTCTCTTCGTCACACAGGCTGTCGAAGTCGGAGACGGGAAAAGATTCGCCAGTTGTTAGAGCATGCTTCTCGATAGCTCCTATCGAAAGTTGTTGAATCCCCAGCCTGCTACACCACCCTCTTATCTATCTATACCCCCTTATCCATCTATACCCCCTTAACTATCTCCGTCTCCGACGCCATCGCCACCTCCATCTCTACCTCCGTCTCNTGCTCATCCTTTCCCTTCATCATCATCCCCTCCTACCTCTCGTCCTTCTACTGATCCATCTACTTCAGCGACCACTAACACCCCCCCCCCCTCATTGATGGGTCCTCCTGCTCCACTGGTACTTGCCCCAGACCCTCCTCCCCCTGTGGATGTGGTTCCGCCTGTCGTCGCAGTTGAGTCCTCTCGCCCTCAGCGTAACCATCGACTTCCTTTTCAAAATCGTGACTGATCTTACGCCCTCTACGCCGTCTATCTTTTACCACTCTTTGACACTTATGCAGCAGCTCCCGGTTTCAGCTTCTACATTCGACTTCTACATTCGACTTTTCGATCTCAGTGCTCCTGCTCAGTACCTGCGTACATGTCACATGATTCCGGACTCCTACTTGGTTGTCTGCATTACTCCTACTTCATCCTGGCTACTTCGACTCGACTTCAGTCTGGAGAGTCATCAGTTGGACTACTTCACGCTTTCGGCTACGAAGTTCTCATCATCTTCATGTATCCTTAGCCCCCCAGTCGCATGATGACCCCTATTTCCCCTGTCTATGTGGGTGTGTCCGCTTGCCGCCCTTCTGCCTTACCTTATGCTGCGCGCTCTCCTCTGGAGTGTACGTTTTCTTTGCTCGCGGCTCTTGGGCCACATGTCTATGCCGGCATAGCCCTCTCTCCTTCCAGACTCACCTTATGCATGCTCCCTTGTGTGAGTGTTATTCCCCTTTCAGCTGGCCGTGCTCGTTTGATGGTTTCCATCGAGCCCGGTGTCGTGCTGTTGCTCCCTCCCTGAGCCTGATGTCCCCTACCTGGTTGTATAGGTGCCCCCTTGGAGTTTACTCTAAGAGCTGTACCTACCGCCTTCCCACCTATTCCTACCTTGGCCATGCGACTGAGTTCCTTCCTCTTCTGTTCAGGCATTGTGCATTGTGTAGAGGGCACGTGAGATTGTGCCATATTCTTTTCGACGTAGGACATTGGCTTAGCTATTCTTTGGTCTTTAGGGCCCTGATGTTGATTTATATTCAGCCTAATTGGCTCATGGGACTTTTTTTTTTTTTACTTTTTTTTTTCTCTTTCTTGGCCGACACAGGTCAGGCATTTTTCTGCTTTTTGGGTCGAC